GTACGTCATTCAGCTGTTTCATTTTTGTTAGCAGGCAGGGTATCGAAAAGCAAGCATGATCCACCTATATTTAACAGCCTTCCACACTCAGAAGAGTAAAGAAGGCCAGCAGAATGGGTTCATATCAACTATAAAAGAAACACAGCAACCATCATGTTTTAGGACAATGAAACCAGCAAATAATCTGCAACAGCACCACATTTCTTCATTTTGGATGGAAAATTCTTGAAGTGCTGGAGGAACTGCATAAAGAGAAATGATCTTGCTAAAGTGTATCACACAGTCTTACCATTCCGTAATCTCATAATTGAAACTTGTACATCACGTTGGGTCATACTACACTAGAGACACTCAAAAGGGTTTGGATTTTTTAGAACCATCTCAAGTACCTCCTTCCACACAGCATCCAACAGAAGGGCAGGATGCTTCCATACACTAAGGTGTCCACTTACCTGAAGAAATAGAAATTTAGAAAAGAAAGAGAATACTGGTACAAGTCTGCTGACCTCCAGCAGACACTGTAGTTGAACATCACTTACATGAATACCCAAGAGATAGCTGAAATTTACTTGATTTTACAAACTGTGTGACATTAAAAAAGAAAAAAGATAATTCTGCCACTAGGAAATACTCATATCTCGGCCACTCCAAGCAGTGACATTCTTAGACTCTAAATAACAAATGCAGAATATTAAGAGGCAGAGCATCTGTGGGCTGAAAAATGATAGTTTACTGAATTTGAAACTTTGAATGTTAATGAAAAACAACCTTGACTAGTATGTAAGGACACCTCAACATCTTCACTGAAGGAATGTCACACTCATGGACTAAATCGCGTCACTGAATGTTATGATCTTTTCTACCAATTTATAGAACTGATTTCTCCCTTTTACATGTTGGATGAAAAAACATGCAGAGAGATGCTGGGAAGCTTCCCATGCTAAACAGTGGGTTCAAGGATGAGGAGATGGGAAGCCTGGTCCAAGGAGCATCTCTGAGTAGCCAGGCACATCATATATTAGTGTAGAATACACAGCTTTTTTATCTTGTAAAGTAAGATAAAGCCGTAAGGCTGTGGAGCAAACAGGGTTCAAACACAACCTCGATACCTAAGATGGTTTAAGTATTATTTCAAAAAGGGGAACGTCTGGCCTGTCCTCTTCGAATGTTTATGTTTAGCTAAAATATCTGCTGCTAGCTTAAGAGCACAGGTCCCACTCCATTCACATTACTCAGTCCTCTGCATCCAGCACATTAACCTCATCTTTCCCAAAGCACAGATTCTCTACCTCTTTGACTGTACACTATGTCATATAACAAGCCTTTCACAAACAACTGTAGTAAAGTTAATTGTCAACAAGCAAACACTTCAGTTTTTGCAATGCACGTGCTAAGGGATGAGCTAGGAGAGGACCAACAGGCAAGAAAATGGACTGGCACCATGTACTTCATCCTGTTGTTCATGTTGCCTTCACAATTTCCCCAAACCAAGGAACTGGACTGTGAAGTTCTCTCACAACAGAAGATGCTGCTCTGGACTCCAGCCATGGTACTGTTTAAGGTATGGCAGGTATGATGGTCTAAGGACACTGTAAGGCCAAATCTGTAAGTACTATTTTTTTTTTTTTTCACTAGACCAAATCAATAGAGCTGGGAAAAAAACAAAGGGCAAACAAAAAAAAGAATAAACTTTTGGGGCACAAAACTTCTTCAGGTCACTTGGGCTGCCAAAAGGGAAGAAAAACACCTCTGTCTTTCTTGGATAAGCTTGTGTCAATTGCCCGGCGTCTGTCCAGGGAGACACACCGATGGAAGTTTTTTGGAGGAATCAGAAGCTTGTTTTACCAGATAAGCATTAGAGGAGTTGTACATTCCTAGGCAGAAAAAAAATTATATACATAGACAGCTTTTGTTATTTTCAGATGCTTTCGTTCACATTGCTCTAAACAAGTACCTTGCTTTAAGAAGTTTGGTTGTTGGGTACTCCTGTCATTGCTCCCAAAGAGAAGTAAATCACAGGTGTTGAATATGAAGTCAGCCTTGGTGAGGTAATTGCAGTTATTACACAGCAGACCATATGCAGGCCATAGGTAGGACACAGTAAATTTCATGGTTCCATACCAAGAGACATGACAAAGAGTATAAGGGTGACACTGAATAAGCTCAGAAATGGATCAAGACTGCAGTTAGTACATGAACTCTGAAAATGCCTCTTCTGATTTTATTCCATATTTGAATGAAAATGGTTTGTTGTTTGGTTTTTTTTTTCTAATCAACCTGCTTCTGTGATTCAATACATGCAGGTGATGTCCGTTGTCTGTTCTAAGGACAAAGATACCAAGCTTGAATATATACATACACCTATGCATACACACATACACACAGAATACAATATGGAAAATCAGTACATTCAGTTTCAGACTGGGAGAATGCAATGGTCATCTTTCTTCAGTTATGTTAATTCTTTAAATATGCTATTGGACTGGAAAAACAAATTCCAAGAAAGTTGTGTCCATGCTAAAAAGTAACTGTCACTGAACTGGTTTTAAGTTTAGCTGAAATCCATATCTGAATCACAAAGTCAAAATGAATATGAAAAAAATCCATTTTGATGCTGCAGAACACACAGGAACTACGTTGCCAAATTATACACTGTTGGTCTCTTTAATCTAGTTTCTTGTTTCCCGTTACAGCCCCGCTGGAATGCTTCAAAATAAGGTGTTAGAAAGCCTCAGGCATATGTGACACTGTCATTGGTGAGGTTTCCCTTCATTTTCCTCTATTAGTTTTCCACTTCTATCCTGAATTAGTGAGAATTTCCAATGTTTGTGCTGAACAGAAGAGTGTGCTCACTTAAGTACACAACCCTTTGTAGAAGCAAAGCTCTTCTCTGTAACACTACACTACACCAGAGAGCCCCTCTAATTATGTTTTGTCTATTGAATGTATACACTGTGCAAAGAGAAATTAAACTGAAACTAATATGAAAACACTTTCATAAGTTTTATGTGTTTCCTCTCAGCTGCACTTTATCATCCCTACTCTTCCATTAGCAGAAAGTCCCATTTGCACTACCTTCTCTTTTGCTTTGCCCACACTATCTTTTAACAAACACTCCCGATTTGTTTCAAAGCCTGTGACCACGCCAGAAGACATCCAGCTACATGGATGCTCAGTGCTTGAGCATTTCAAGCACTTTAGCCATGAAAATGAACATTGCTACAAGTGTACCTCCTTAAGTAGTGGGTAACTGTGAATCGGCGCTATGCGTGCAAAGCTGGCTGCTCCAACAAAGCAGGAAACAAAGATTTTTAGATTTGGATGATGTCTTGAGTGTTTTACTATTTCAGGCTACTAAGGATCAAGATGGTATTAAAGAGGGAGAAACAAGACTAAGAGTTTTATCACTGTAAAATCTTGCTGTAGTCCCTAATACAGCCTGCAGTTTTCAGCCGATGCTCCTTGTCAAACGTGTCCATGCGACCGCCTGGTATATAGAACCAGTACAACCACAATCTGTTGTAGGCATGGCTGTACATTTTCAAATGCATTTGTTTGGCTTGCAGTCTAAGTATGAAAATCACAGAGTCCTTTTCCAACTTTCTAAAGTATTTTGTAAGAGCTTTACTAGATAGTGATACGAGTGAAACACTGCTCAATTCAGTTGTATCATTTTACAGGGGAAAAATAGTTATGGTTTTAAGACAAGAAAACATTCTCCTGTCTATTATGCCTTTTTTTTTTTTCAAATGAGTAATCCCACACAGAATTGGAGACTGACACCAGGCAACTGCAAACTTTTTTTTTTCCTCTAATTTTGAATAATTAATTACAGACTTACAGGGCTGTTGGGGAAATATTGGTAAAGATTTATAAGTAACTTACTCAATTACTAGAAAAAATACAAATATACCTGCATCCAGTATTCAGTCTGATTTTGTTTTTAATAATCTATTTAAGATGTTTTGTGAAATCATTCAAAATAATTTTTTCATTCACTCTTTATAGGTTCCCCAGCTACAGCTGGACAAATTATTTAAGTCTTGCATCCTCAAAGCATAAGATACAGCTTTCTTTGTGTTCTGCTGCATTATAGTCTTTCATTTTAGTTCTAAAACAATTTTAAAATATGTACAACTAGGTTTGCAGTTACACATGTCTACAGATATTGGTCTCATAAGAGTAAACATCTTTATTTTATAAAGAATTAGATATACAGATAGTAAAATTAAAAGTGACACTGAATTTGAGGAGCTGCAGCAGAAGTCAGAAACACCAATGTGTTGTACCTTTCAGATCTGCTTGTCAAGCATATTACCGTTACTGGAGGCATATTTTCGTATTTCTCCCACTGCTCTTCATCTTCTGATCAGAAGCTCTCCTTTATCTTTTCTAGCTTTGTATTTTTCTGTATGCAAGCTCTAGGTGTTTATTTGTTGATCATGTACTTTTCCTATTCCAATCCAGAAAGTCGACTTTCATTTATACTATTTTACAACACGCACGTGAGCACACAGGAAAAACAAACTTAATTCCTTCAGGCCAGGATATATGCCTTTAAGTTTTTGAAACATCCTCTCCATGTATAATACTCTAGAAATATTTTATTAACACTGGCATCATCACAGAAGTCTTTTTGACTTTTCAGAAGGGAGCGAGTCCCCTACCTGTGCAGTGGCAGGAGGCACCAGCAGTTCTGCTGCCTGTCACCAAAGACGACTAACTGCTGGAACAAGCTACCGAGCAGCAGTTTACCAAAGTTTAGGAAGCACTTACAGAAGATGCAATAAATTCAGACAACTTTTCACTATATTACTCCAAAGCCTTTTACTTGCAATTCACAGTGCAAGGCACATTAATCAATATACACTGGTTTGGGAAGGGTTTAGCAATAAACAATTAAAGGAGCCTAACAGTTCAAGAGACTGTCAATGGGGGTCCTAACCTTCACTTCTAGGGCATTTTCAGATTCGGCAGGGGAGCTTCATTATTCTTGATACACCTGACGAAATTTCATTAACTCATCCACGCTCCTGACCATATAAATGGTGTCTATCGACTCCCCACCACTGCCTCGATTCAAAGGATGAGCTAAACAGGAGTAATCGGAGCCATCCGAGACTGGCCCCCATTCTTTGAGGGTCACTTGGGAGAGAAGAACGGTAAATAAAACATTTAGCATGGAGAAAGCAAAGGGGGTTTGGTTTACCAAATCTTGCTGTTGCAATTACAAGGATCTGATAAAGCACCACAACTTCCGTAACAGGAGCATCGGGTGGCATCCTTGCTTCCAGCCTCGTAAATCACACAACCATACAGCCTCTCAGCCACATGATCCATTTTGTCCTGAGACTGTCAAGAACAACATATTCATTAAGGAATTACAGTTTCATTTCTGCACTCAAGTATTTTCTTCAGAAAGCACAGCCCTTGCCAGGGAAAGCCCAACATGACAACACAAGCTACCTGAGGTTGCCACTGATTTTGCTACAATTTTTTTAACCTATAAAAACAGTTTCTAAGACTAACACTGCCACTTTTTTAGAAGCATTAAGTTGATTACCACAGAAAACATAGATAGTATTTTACCTTCCTCTAACTACCTGCAAAAATACTTGGTCCCAACAGTGGAACATTCTTATTAAATCTCCAAACTTATTAATTTAATAATGCATCTGCTAGTAACAAGACATTTTGAATATCAATATGAAAAAATATTGCATGGACTGGAATTCACCGACGCTGATAACTTATTGCTTCTGTATTTTCAAAACACTGGCTTCTTTCTAGAAAAATTATAGGGGTTTCGTTTTGTTTAAGGTGAAATCTCTCCCAAAAGTCAGAGGCATTGCAAACAAAATGAAAATTAATATAAAACACAGTACACTATGTAATCAGTACCTTCTTACATTAATTTCTTCTTCGTGATTGAAATTCCCTCTTCCAAAGGCAGACTTTTATTTAGGAATGGGAGACAGGAAAGAAACAACAAAACCAAGCCTATGTAGCAAACCAGCACTTTCACTGGTCAATCCCTTCAAGCCTTTGGGGTTAGCATCCAGGGTTGTACTTCAACTAGACCCATACAAACTTAGCAAAAAGCGTTGGTTACATCATGGTCAGCTCCCAGCTAAATGCTTCTACCTGAACAACTGAGCTTCACACCGAAACAACAAGCCCAAAGGCAGACTGTGAAGGCTAACAAGGATGGGATCAAGCAGTCTGTGAATTCAATGCTAGGGGCCGCTGAGGAGCTAGACAACCCCCATGATCCACAGCCAGAGCTGACAAACGGCACCTGCCATAAGAAGTGTGATTTCCGACATCCAGATTCTTACAAATTGGTAATGTCCTAACTGATATTCGCACAGGAAACAAGGTGGGTAAAAAAGCGTGTTCTCAATACACTTAGAAGAAGGAAATCCACCCAGTCACTGTTCTTTCATGGGTGGGTCCAGCTTAAAACTAAAACCCGAAAACTCCAATACACTGGCCTGAAGAAAGACCGCAAGCATTTTGAAAAGCCTACAGAAAATAAATGGGCAACATGAATTATATTCATTCACATTTTGGCTCTTTTATCACAAATGAAGCTGGTTTTCCTGAAGACAAGATGTGGATGTGAAAGCTGCGTGCAAGCTGGGGTTTGGAGGAGCCAAAGGCTCGTACCCAAGAGGCTCAGGTCGCTCTGGGCACAGGGAATGGAGGTGCAAAGGGAAGGGGAGGAGGAAGGGCTTCCAGGGGCCATTGTCTAAGGGGGCACTTAGGGGAGCGCGACAGCGAGATGTTTGTCAAGGTGCTATACAATAGCCTAGATGTTAGGCCACTTTCTTAGAAAAACAAAACAAAAAAAAGAGGATCTGAACTTGCTTGGCTCTTCAGGTTAAACTCAAACTCACACCACAGTACCAGGTGAAGTTCCGCCACTGCACAGAAAAGCAAGCAAGATACAGGCGAGCAGAAATGAGCCGTCCAGCTTCTCTGTCCGACTGTCCAAGCACTCACATGATGAGCAGGAATCACCATTTTGGCCTGTTTACCCATATTACATTAGCTTGGTATTGGAGAAAACAAAACAAAAAAACCCCAAGAAACGGAAAAATCTTAGCATGCCATAGCATGTATAAAATGTTTTTTAAAAAAAGGAAATTTCACGCAGACATCAGCTTGACTATCAAAAAATATACAGAAAACAATTCCAGAAACAAATTTATAAACACCTTCAGAATACAAAGATAAGAAAGAGTCACCATTATCCATCAAGAAAAAGAACCTGTCAGCTCAGTGTGGTTTACTTGGAAGGGAGACTGCGCAGTGGGTATGGAGGAACATGTAGATGGCTTACTAAAAGTTAAAATGTAAGAGTTTTGATTCTTAGCCTGCCACATGGCATCTACATAAGCAAACAGTCTTCATTAAATGAAAAAATGGTGTACAGTCACATGAAAAAAATAATGTTTCTACAAATGAGAGAACGTTTCAAGAAAGCTCTTGCTATCCTAAGCCAATTCCATTAAAAGACTTTCATTAATGACTTGTATGTAGAAATACAAAAGTGTACATGATAAGTTGGGAAAGATTATAAGCCCTTTTGGGGACATGAACAGAATAAGGAAAGTTAATAAGAGAAAATTCAATACAGACAAATGTAGAGTACTATGCTCAGGAATAAGAAATCAAATACACAAATATGAAATGGGGAATAATTGGCTAGGCAGCAGTATTGTAAAGAGAACCTGGAGGGCATGTGGATTGCAAAATGGATTATTTAAAAAAAAGCAAAAAACAACAAAACCCAACCACAACAAAAACCAGGCAAGTGATCTAGGGAGTATTAGTATCAATGTTTTATATATAAAACCCAAGTAGTATGTATTATCTCAAAAGAGAGGTAATTATTTCATTCTGCTCAGCTCTAGGCTCTGATCTGGACACACTACTAATAATATGGAGAAAAACCAAAAAGAGTCCATAGGCAAGAATCACAGAAGATTTGACGGGGAAAAAAATGACGCACCACAAAAATTTTCAGTTTATTTTTATATTTTATATTTAATGAAGTGGGAAAGAAAAAAGCTAGGACACTATGGTCTTGACTACTGCCACCTTTCAGTTTCTTAGAAAAGAATATTTCATATTCTCACCTGTTACCTTCCCGGGACTGGAAGAGAGAAATATCCTAAAGCCTAGAGAAGCACGCACAGAGGTCATAAAGATTTCTGAATTAACATGTTTGTTGCTACCGGAGGAAGACCTTCTCTTAGTAGTTGAAACAACAGCTGTGTATTACCTGACCACTACCTAAACGATCTGGACTTAGGGGTCTGTGGCTCAACTGAGCAGGCACCAGGAAAAGAAACTTCAGCTTTGACTCAGCCTGGACCAGCACTCCTTTCTGGCCTGTTTGTACATGAACAAAGCAGGCCCTAATGGCCCCAAAGTGGCCCTAATTGCAAGCAACACAGCTGAGAAGCCTTAAAATTTTAGCTTCTGGATACTCATGATGAAAACCCATCATCTAACTGTGTTCTTGATGGCACCCAAGGAAGCTTTTGCAGAAAACTCTAAAAGCAACCATTTTGAGCAGTTGCTGATTATCTCCACTTCTAGAGTACCACACTACGCTGTGCAGGATCGTGCCCTTTTCTGCACCCTGAGGGTTCATGGAGCGGTCATCATGAAGTGGCTCTACCCAATTACAGTACCACCCTGAATCATAAAATTTGTAGTCTCCCTCCCTAAGGAAAGCAGGCTTGTGAGGCCATGCTGTGTCTCAGCACGCAACTGTCCACCCTGGATAACTTCTGAGTTCATTTTCCAGTTTCAACTATATCCAAAAAAGAGACAGCTGTCTCAAAACAATATTACATTTCTACAAGTTGCTTCAGCTGTTTGCTTTCACAGAAACACCGCATCGTGGCCTCAAGAACATAGATGTCCAGGAAATCAGGCTTCAGCCATTATGTAGCTCACGACACTGCGTATTTCTATCCTGTCCTGGACTGAATCACAGTCCGTCTGAGGCAGAAGCAGCGTGGTGTACCAGGAGAGATGGCAGACTTGGGGGTGGAGGGGACCATGCCACAGACAGGTCCTTCTGAAATGGTTCTCCTCCTGAAATGGACCTGAAATGGTCCTCCATCTCTGGGCGTGCCACAGGATGGCTCTATGCTATAAGCCACTCGGCTGAAACAAACTTTGCCCAGGGGATAAATAATTTTCTGTTCCTCATCTTCTGGATGCCCAATGTGATAAAATGGCATCTCATCCTTAGTATCATAGGCAAAAGAGACGGTAGAAGTTGTACATACACACGAGTGGTTTATGTGATGCTCCAAAAAAATTCAGAGCTACACAGCTCCAATTGGGCACCCAATAATCAGCAAGTATTTTTGCCTTTCACCTTTCTGCACCTTACTGCTATTTCTAAAACCAGCAGGCAGGCAGGCAGGCAGGAGTGGCTTGATGCATATTTTTAAAGGTTTGTGAAACTCAGGCACCGTGGTGCTGGGCACCAAAGAAACAACATGTTCTTCCTCTAGGAACAGCTGTATTATGAAACAGCAAGTCAGCCATAAGGCACATACCACATGACAGCAAAATAGCAAATTATCAAATAGCTACTCATTATGAAAACAATGCTCTATTCTGCACAATAAAAAACCCAGAGTTTTTCCAGAGGAAAAAAAAATAAATCAGTGAGCATGCAAATGAAGACAAAGTAAGAACAATGCTTAGTATACATCCCTATTTTCCAAGTTAAGAGAACGTTATTGAGAATGCAAGTACAACATCCAGACATTGCACTCGGACACATACAGACACACTATTCCAGCTGCTTTTGAACGGCAAATCCTATCCTTCCCTCCCAAAGCTCTGACATCTCATCGGAGCTGCAGGTTTTAGGACTACCACACACCTCTCTGCCATTTCAGTCAATTCAGTATTTCACAGGTGTTTGTAGGTTTTATCTTGAAGATAAGCCATTTTACCTTTCAGTCTCACAGATACTTGCTGGCAGCAAAGGAACGGTCATTTTCTAGTACCTGGAAGGACAGTATGTTCCTCCTAACTTAACAAAAACCTTCCACTTCCTGACCTGTCTCCTTGAAGGCATCTCTGTCCTGGCTCTGCTCCCTGCTTTGCACCAGGTCTGTTTTCCTTCTCTAGATGCACCAGCTCCCACCCAGATCTCCAATCCCAATGCCCGTCCCCTCGGGGAGCTATTCTTTGTCTCTTCTCTCCAGACCGGCCATTTCCACCCTGCCTCCTCCATCCTCCT